TTCAAGTCAAAAAACATAAGGACAAATAAATAACAGATAATCAAGCCTAGTTTCTAAAATCTTTCTCTTCCTTGTCACCCTAGCAGCATTGCTTGCAGTCACCATGGAAACCCAAGGCACTGTTAAAAGTGGGGACCAGCATCACAGAGGAAAAGAGAAAAACAGTATAAGCATGTAGGCTTATTTTAGGAGGCAGGGAGACACCTGGAGTGAGGCTTCTCAAGCTTATTTTGCAGCAAAGAAGGGGGTGGGGGAATGAAATGGTTTATTTTTAATTGTTCCCACTTCATGTGCCAACGTTTTCAGTTATTCCAAATTTGGAAGCCTCTTCTCCCTTTTTTCAAGCTTCTCCTCACCCACATCCTCTTTCAGCCATTTTGATTGATGGCACGTAGATGTCACATACGAAGCTTCTCCATTGTTCATTCTCCTGTTACCCAGCCCTCCTTGTATAATACCATCTCAGGTATTACAAAAATGGCAGTGAAGGGAAACCTCCTCTTAGGCAACATTTGTATGGTGTTTTTTTAAGGGAAACAGATGTATGTATGCCACTTAATCTCATTCTTGTCTGCTACCAGACCGAGGTACAAGCAGGAGCTGCAGGACTATATCAGGCAAAACTTTATCTGGGAAGGAACTAAATATTTGCTTGTTCGTGCTTTTAAGGCCCTACTCCAGCAATACCAATCATATCTTAATCTTCAAAGGAACTAAATTTAAATGGCACAATTTCAAGATAATCTTTGTGGCCCTGAGAACACTTCAGAGGATTCACCCCCACCCAAAATTTGGAGATTATATCCTGTAGGGGGCATAGTTTTCCTCTATATCAGAGGTCCCTAACCCCCAGTCCACGGCCCAGTGTTGGTCCATGACCTGAACTGGACCAGGCCACAGAGACAGGCCTCCCACCCACCCCTGCATGGAGTCCACCCTGCACAGCTGATTTGCGCATGTGCGTGTGCTCCAGCACATCTGTGTGAGCACCGTGCCGCCATTTGCGCATGCTCACGAGCGAGCTCCCACACAAGTGCCACACTGCCGTTTGTGCATGCGTGCATGTTCCACCTGTGTGAGCACCATGCCACCATTTGCGCATGCTCACGAGCGAGCTCCCACACAAGTGCCACACTGCCGTTTGTGCATGCGTGCATGCTTGTTCACACACGAGCATGGGTTGCCCCACCTTCACCAGCCGGTCCACAGGGTGAAAACTTGCTCTATATAGCAAGATGTGCCCACCATGCAAGAAAGAAAGAAAGAAAGAAAGAATTCGTTTACACACGAGCATGGGTTGCCCCACCTTCGCCAGTCGGTCCGCAGGGTGAAAACCTGCTCTACAGAACAAGATGTGCCCACCACATAAGAAAGAAAGAAAGAAAGAAAGAAAGAAAGAAAGAAAGAAAGAAAGAAAGAAAGAAAGAAAGAAAGAAAGAAAGAAAGAAAGAGTTTACTTACCTGTAACCATGGTTCTTTGAGTAGTCCTCTGGGAATCCACACAAATGGGTTAGACTGCCCCTGCGTAGGACTCCTCGGAATATTCTAGAGCTTAAAGAAACGTGATTAGTAGGATGTTTCCCTGTAGCATACATGCTCCGCCCACCCGTAATACCTCAGTTCTGAACTGTCCGCCGCTGTCATAGCTCTGAGTGTAACAAAGCCCTAGACAATCTGTGACGGGCAGCGGGGAGGATGGGTGGGATGTGTGGATTCACAGAGGACCACTCAAAGAACTATGGTTACAGGTAAGTAACCTCTCTTTCTTTTTCGTGGTCTCTGTGAATCCACACAAATGGGTGACTAGCAAGCTCACTTACTGGAAGGAGGGCTGTCACGGTAACACTGAAGTCAGCACAGCCTTTCCAAAACTTGCTTCCGTTTTGGCTCTGACATCCAGCCGGTAATGTCTTACAAAGATCAATGGTGTAGACCAAGTGGCTGATCGACAAATGTCAGAGACCTCAATGCCACGCAGCCAGGCAGTTGAAATAATCCTAACACATCTGGTGGAGTCTTGCAAGCCAGGTAATAGGGCAAGGTGATAGTAGACACAATCCACCTAGAAACCATCTGTGAGGAGGCGGGAAAACCTTTACGTGGGCCATGGAAGCAGACAAATAGTCTAGGAGAAGTGCAGAAGTCTTTAGTCCTAGAAATGTAAAATGTTAAGGCGTGACAAACATCCAAGGAATGGAGCATGCGCTCAACGTCCGAAGGAGCAGGGAATAACGTCGGAAGAATCAAAGATTGCTTAACATGAACATTTGGTACAACTTTGGGAAGAAAGGAGACATCAGATTTTAAGAGGACCTTGCTGGGTGGAATTGTATATAAGGGGCATCAGCCTGAAGGGCAGCTAATTCACTCGCTCGTTGTGCAGAAGTTATGGCTGCAAGAAATAATGTCTTGAAAGAGAGATGTCGAAGATATGAAGAAGCCATTGGTTCAAACCGGGGTGAGTTAGTGCTCGCAACAAGACTTGAAGGGACAATTGAGGCAATGGGGGCCGGACAGGTGGGTGAACTTCTTCAAGGTTGGGTGTGAGAACAGGCAGGAGGCTTCTGAGCCCGCAGGTTGGTAGGAGACAATAGCGGAGATATAAACTTTTAATGTAGAATGGGCCAATCCTTGGTCAAATAGATAGTGCAGAAAAACAAGAAGAGTACCCAACAAAACTGGAACAGGTAGCAGACCTCTAGAGGCACTTAGAAAAAACATTCCATTCGTAAGAATACAACAGTTTGGTGGAGGGTTTTCTGGTTTTGTCCAAAACCTCTGCTATATCGGTGGGATCCTCCAAGATACGTATTTTATTTATTTATTGTATTTATACCCCGCCTATCTAGTCATTTCGACCACTCTAGGCGGCTTACAACATAAAGGATAACAAGTTCAATAAAAATCATTAATTAAATGATTCTGCAAGATGGGAAAAATACAAAATAAATCAAATAAAGATAAAAAGAATAAAAAAGGAAAGAGGACAGGAATTAACTGGAAGGGAAGGCCTGCCTATACATCCACGTTTTTAGTTGGCGAATCTCCGGAGGTAGGTTATTATTATACGTAGGGATCGATGTATGGCAAGTGGATTTGGGATACATCGTGAATGAACAATGTTGGTGTTGTGGAGGTGAAGGTGATATGGAAGGTGAGTATCGGGGTGGAGAGGCATATCTCACCCTTCTTGGTTCGTCATAATAGACATGCTCAGTCCGGTCTTCATGACAGTAGGGGTCGTAGTGGTGGTAGTGATCCCCATAGTCATCTTGAGTCGGGTATCAATAATAGTAAATGTATTCATGATAAATTTCCCTGTGTGGAGGGGCATATTGGACTGGAGAAAGGTGTCGTCTCTTCACCTGGCGCTTGTGGGGAGACTGGTGAGACAATTCATAGGTATTGCCTGCCCTGATGATCTAGGGCTTGAGTGGGCTGAGGCTGGGCTGGAATGAACATCAGCTGGAGATAGGTCAGTACTTGGCAAAAAGCTGGTGATGAAAGCTGCAGCCTGAGCTGGTGTTGAAGTTGGGTTGTCTCTATCCGAAATCAAGCCAGGGGTGTCTCTAAATGACTCCTCAAGGATCAGTGATGGAGGCTCTGGTTGAGATGGATCTATCTGAGTCAATTTTGTAGGTTTCTTAGTTTTATCAGGTTTGGGCTTATCCTTCTTTTTCCTAGATGAGCCATCAGGATGAATTGGAGCTTTCGACGTGGACGTCACGCTCAATTTCGAAGCAGACTTTGAAAGGCCTTTTTGACGAGGTGATGGAGTTGTCGGGCTTGATATCAGGTGAGTGGTTTCTCAAGTATGTTCGGTGGTGTTCCCCTAAGCAAAAAAAGGCAATGGTTGTGACTGTCGGTAAGAGGTATCTTGTTAGTGCAAAGCATGCACTGCTTGAAAGGCCCTGGGGGGGCATAAAAGGTTGGGGGACAAGGGAGGGAAAAGAGGCGATGGGGGTTGGGGGAATGGGGGAGAAAAAATGCAGTAAAGAGAAAAATGACTGAGGTAAATTGAAAAGGGATAACTTACAGGGGAACGTCCAACAAAGATGATTAAAATAGAAAATGAAAGAAATGATCGGAAGAATCTCAGCAATTGCTCTAGTGTTCCAAAACAGGTCCAACCAAAGCAGTGGCAAAAAGGAACTGAGGGGATCTTTGGAGTGCAAAGCATGCGCTCCACAGGGGAACGTCCTACTAATCACATGTCTTTAAGCTCTAGAAACTTCCAAGACGTCCCACACAGGCGCAGAACAACCCAATTGTGTGCATTCACAGAGGCCATGAAGAAGTCTACCTTTCTTAGACTTACATCTTGCCTTTCCTCCAGTTCAGTCAATGTGGCAGACAAACTTTTCTTCCTTTCTCCTTAATCCTCACAATAACCCTGTGAGGTAGGTCAGGCTAAAAGGAGTTGGTTGACCCAAGATCACCTAGTGACATTCATGGCTGCACTGAGATATACTGTGAGCAAGTATGCAGGGTACTGTACACCGTGTCTTCCCCCCAATGACATCCTATCTAAATACAAGAATTTCAAAGTGCAAAAAATGGAATGCCAGGGGGAAAGCACATTAAAATGAAGCTGGAAACTCGTAATTTCAAAGTGCAAAAAATGGAATGCCGGGGAGAAAGCACATTAAAATGAAGCTGGAAACTCCCTCCATCCTTCTGCCTTAACAACCTTTGCACTGCAGCCTGAGCCAGTCTGCAAAGAATGCTAAAAACACTGGCAGTTGGGAAAGCTGTCTTGTAGAAGAACTCGGAGAGAAGAATATGCTGCCTAATGGGCCCTTCCTTCCCATTTTCAAAATCTGCAGCCATTCTAGTAACTTCTCCTTTTAACTTCAAAAAGGATGTCAGCTCCACAAATCCCGGCTTGTCTTTTTTCCCCTTAAAGGACATTCTCAGCTGTAACTTGAGAAGCTGGAAGGATGCTGGAGAAACTTTAACTAGTTGCTCCCGCCTCCTTCTCCACCCTCTCCAGACTAGCAAGCAGCATCCACGCCACGTCACCTACTGCCAGTACTGGGACTCAAAACCTGACTTTAGATTGCACTTTTCTTTCCGTGCTGCACCAGGAAGAGCAGATCAACTTAGAAGAAGCAGTGGCCCAGGTTACCTCCCATGAAGAAGTGCAGAAAAAGAAGAACGTAAAGATTCTTTGGTTGAAACAGAGGCCAGTCTTAGTGCACCACAGGTTTAATTTCAAAGCTCATTGCCAAATATTGCTGACATTTTTGATTAAGAGAAGCTGTGTGAATAAATGCAATTTCAGCAAGAGTGGAATAAAGATCTTATCTACAAGAATATTTACTGGACAGTCACCTAGCAACCTGCTGAAGAAAGAAAAAAATACTTTTATCTGAGCTTCTGACTGAGGAACCACAAAGCATCTATTGACTTCTATAGGCATTTTTTGCCCAACATAAATGAACACTTTTTTCTTCAGCATCTGAAGAAGTGGACTTGTCCACAAAAGCTCACATTAAAATATAGCAGCTAGTCCTTGAGGTGCCGTACTTTTGTCTTTGTTTTTTTAGATTTTTGTTTTGTTTTTGCTTGACATTCTTCTTCAGTCATTCCAGGACATTCTTGGGCCATTATGAATATATTTCGGATTTTGGGGGATGTCTCCCACCTCTTAGCTATGATCATGTTGCTGACGAAGATATGGAGATCTAAGTCTTGTGCTGGTAAGTTGTTATTCTCTTCTGTCTATCCTGATGACAAAGGTGTTAACAATGTAAAAACAGTGTAGGAGGAAACACAGGCAGCAGGCATAGCTATGAAATACGGTAACTTGCTAACAGAGCACAAAATCTGCCACCCCAAACCATGATCCCTAAAGATTCAGGACTTGGGCTTAGCTTCAGGCTGCTTGGGTCATATATATATGTACATGTACACATACACACACACACACACACACACACACACACAGAGAGAGAGAGAGAGAGAGAGAGAGAGAGAGATTATAAAACTCTAGAATTAGTTGTCCCAAGGTGTTGTCATTAAGCTGACATTTGAGCTTGACAGCTACAGTAGGGCATAGTTAAACATGAGATCTGAATAAGAGGTAAGATAATAAGCTGTTAGGGCAAATATAACTTTATGACTTACTCAAGTCAATGTGTCTTCTCTGTGTCCTATCCTAGTTGGAAGCATATCGCCATAATTTTCATGGGACGACCTTGCCTACAGTGTAGAGATACTACTACCTCAATTCTTTATACAAATCATATGTTCATATATTTATTTCCAAGTCTCTCTATTAAAATATCTACACCATGGTCACTGCAGTGTCCTATAAATCAAATTCTGTGACAACTTGTCCATTCCTTCTGTGTCCTCCCACTACCTTAGACACAGTACCTGAACGTGACTTGATGGGCAGTAAAAATTCTGCTGTTGGAGAGATATGAAAAACTTCTCAGCCAGGGATTTTAAAGAAACTGTAAAAACATGGCAGATTTCAGGACAGGGCCAGAATACTTAGCACCTGAGGCAAAGGTTAAGATGAACCCCCCACCCCATGGCTGAAATCTTGTTGCTTTGTCAGGCACCCAGGAAGCAAAAAGCATAACATTCAGTTGTTTCTAGCCAGCAGTTAACAAACCCCTCAGGGGGATTTTCTTGAATGTGCACCAGGCCAGCAGGTGTGTGCCCCCCCCCAAGAATCCCAACTGCGATTTGCTAATTGCCAGCTGTAAATGACTGGATGTGAGACCTTTTGCCTTCCACATGCATAACAAAACAACAGTATTTCAGACTGTATTTCACTGACAGAAGCCAAACAGACTGGCAGATGAATCTTATTTTAATGCTTGAGATGGGACAACATCCTTTAAACCCCTAAGAAAAGCCAGTGAAGGTAAGAGTATGTAGAGGAGGCCTCTCTCTGTTCCACTGCATCTTCCACCTGAGGCTACTACTTCATTCGGCCTACCCGTAGGACTGGCACGGGATGGAATGCAGAAAGACTCTGCGCTAAATGGAAGTCTACTAAACCCTGATTTCTTCAACAAGGATTATGGGCAGTCACTGTTTACCCAGAGCAACTTTCCTCCCGGTCCCTGTCTCGGAATATTCTAAAGTAGCATTCCTATACTGTTACTTAGATTAAGCCCTACTGCAGAGAGTGAAGGTGTTTTTTTTTTTGAGGAAATATGCAAAGGATTCGATACAGGAAATTGAAAATGGGAGTGGGACGCAGCCAAAAAGATACTGTATTTAGAACATGGAGGAAAACAGGGGTGCCATTTAGGGAAGACACTTGTGTCTCTGACTATGGATATTTCTTGTAATTTTTTATGCATTAAAAAGTAACCAGAAAAAAATGTTCATTTTTTTTTAACAGACCACTTTTAAACAATATCGTCTTCACTGCTTCTTAGAGCAGGCCTTTTAATCTCTCACCAGAGCATGCACATCAGAAGTTCCAGACAGTTTCCTTTCTTGCCTCCCTACCCACATCCCATTCTTTCCTGCTGAAGGATTTCTCTGACCTCACTTGGAATGCCTCCTTCCATTCCTAGTCTCCTCTGCACAAGACCATCCCACTGCATTAGCAGGGACTCCCCCTCCCTGCTTTGTGGGTGGAATCAAATGTGTTTCGAAGGAGTGGTGCTGTGATGTGGCAGTCATAGTAGTACAAGCGCACCACAGTTCCCAGTCTGTGTTTCTTTGTGTATGCATATATATCTTTGGACGGTAACAACTGCATTGGAGTAAGAATAGGAATGCAGGAGGGGAACATTCAAGAAAGACCCTCCAGAATGCAATCAGAAGGTGGAGAAGAGAAAGTACTAACTGTGTCAAAAGAAGCAAACAAATCAAGAATAAACAAGGAAGTACCCTTGGTTTGAGAGAAGATATTCATGGGATCAATTTCAGGAAATAAAGGTGTGCAAAATCTATGCTGGAGATTAAATAGTGGAGAACAAAGGCAGAAAATACAGACCACAGACTTCAGATCAGAGCTGTATGGAAAACAAGAAATAGATCAGTGGGAGGAAGCAGAGTGGCATCAATGAAAGTCTGGTCTACCATTCTGAAATTGCATACATGCACATACCAGGATTTTTCTGATAGAGTGATTATATCCTTTATAAGAAGTCAATTTTGAATTAATTTGATTTATTCAGTAAGTATAGTCATCTGGGGGAATCATTTATATGCTTGGATGCGCAAGATATTCAGCCAGGTCTCAACCAGACAGAACATTTCTTCCCCTATCCATTACAGATCGTGTTCTGATATTTGGTATTTTTCCAACTGTCTGAATAATACAAGTCTTAAAGTACCTATAATGACAAGGAGTGACAAAATCCACTCTGCCTTTCCAGGCTTCTAAAAAACCAATTCCTGCAGATGATTTGTTTTGTTTGTTCGTTTCACCTTGTACGTACCAGGATCTGAATTTGAGTGGCAAAAGTGTTTTGGGCCTCAAGCTTTCAATTTAATGCTACTAAAAAAAAATCCAATGCAGATCATTTTAAGGAGCGTAAAGGATTCCTTCACTGTTTTTTTAAAGATTTGTGAAAGACAGCTGATTTACAGTGGGGAAGAAATCAGTGTTTTAAAAGGGCCCAGATCTGAAGAGCTAATTTACAGTTTAAAACATCTAGTCATTTCTTCAAGCATTTTGAAGTATCTTCAAACGAAGATGCAGAAGATGTGTGAAAATCCATAAGAAAATACAGAAGATGTGTGGAAAGAAACCTTGGTAGATCCATGCTTGTTTGGCACCAAGCAGTATGAATTTGCACAAAAGTGGGGATGAATAAATACACTGTTTAGACACACCCTCTATAGTTTTCCATCTCTTTTATACCCCTTTCTCTTTCACATAGGCACAAGCACACAAAGCAGAAAAGAGATAATTACTGTACATGCAGAGTGAATCTGGATGAAACATCACTCGAGTAAAGATAAGGCTAAGGGCTGCGAAACTTTACCCATGATTGAGCAATTCACTTTATTAGATCCCAGTGCAATTCTAGGACTAATTGAAAGACCGGTCTTGCCCTTTAAAGCCTTTTACCAGCTAAGAGCACTGATGGTTGTTCTGGGTTTTTCGGACTCTTTGACCGTGTTCTGAAGGTTGTTCTTCCTGACGTTTCGCCAGTCTCTGTGGCCGGCATCTTCAGAGGACAGCAACCTGTACTCTCATTTGTTTGTTTTGTAATTTTGTTGGTTGGGTCCCGTTTCAGTTTTCTGTAGGTGGTGGGGTCTAGAAGTTCTCTGATTTTTTCCTTGTATTTTTGTTTCCATGATTACCGTGGCATTGCCTTTGTCTGCTGGCAGGATGATGATGTCCGGGTTTGAGTTCAGGGACTTGATGGCATTTCTCTCCTTTCTTGTTATGTTTCTTTTGGGGGGGTTTGCTTTCCGTGGGATCCTAGTCACTTCCCCTCTTATTTCCTCTGCTTTTTCTTCTGGAAGATGATATAATGCACTCTTTGAAAGACTCTTTTCTCTACATACATCTCCCCACATCTCAAACCTTCTTCCAAGGTCTTGTTCCTGGTACCCTATGCAGTCTTTTTGTTTCACTCTAGTGTTGATGTCCACTCCAGAGAGGCTCACCCGGAGCTCATATTTTTTTTACCGGAGATCATATTTTTGCAGTGGAGTTATTAATCAGCTCCTCTTCCTTTCAAAAGAGAAGAGGTTGTCATTACTACTTTCCTGCTAGCAATCAGCCCCAAAAATTAATTAGTTACTTTACTTTTATTAGCACTTTTTTTGCAATTACAATGATAAAAAAAGAAACAAATCCACACCATCTTCTTCTGATACAATGCTTTCCCACTGAAGTACCAGTAAGTTCCCAGTGCTGGTTTGGGGTGTGTGTGTGATTTTCATTGTACCTTGAAAGAGCACCCTCTCTCTTGGAGACAGCTTGTTTTCCTTATGGGGTAACAATACCTCGGTGTTGCAAGTGTAAGTTTTGCTCACTTAGCAACTTGAATCTTTATCCTCAGACATCCACGGGTTCTGGGTTCTCCATCCATTTCTCCTGCGCAGCAATCTAAGCTGCAAGGAGAATGCTGGAAGTGGCATGATACTTGTCTGTATCCCATTTGTCACAGCCTCTTTGGCAGGTGCACTTTGCAGGCTGGCTTTATACTATCACAAGATTCAAGCTCCTGTTTTGGGTAGCCTTGGAGTTTGTGCCTTGATGTTTCAAGAGCTGGCTTACCCATTCAAGAAATCTATCATTGAGCCTGAAGTCCCAGACACCTTTTACTTGCCATTCATTCATTCATTCATTCATTCATTCATTCATTCATTCATTCATTCATTCATTCATTCATTCATTCATTCATTCATCCATCTATCCATTCGATTTTTCTACCACTCATCCAGCAAATCGCTACTCTGGGCAGTGTACAACAAAATATAAAGAACATATTTTGTAACGTCAACTATAAAAAACACAAACAATAATCATGTGATGTCAAATCAATTCTGACTTGAGGCAGTCCTTTTCAGGGTTTTCCAAATAAAGAATACTCAGAAGTGGTTTACCATGCCCTTTTCTGGGGGCATCCTGGGATTGTACAGCTTGCCGTCAGGAATTAAAACTCCTAACCTCTGGCTCCACAGCCAGATAACTAAACCTCTGAGCTTTCCAGCCAGGTATAAAACACACTAACAGAATATACTTTTGTCTTATGGCATGCAGGTATCTCAGGAAAGAGCCAGATTCTGTTTGCACTTGTGTTCACGACCCGATACCTTGACCTGTTTACAAACTTCATCTCCATCTATAATACTGTCATGAAGGTAAGGAAGGACAAGAAACTGTGTTCTGTTCTTGCATGCTGCATTAAAGAAGTCAAGAGATGTGACCATAAAAACAATTCAGATGTTTTAAGCCCCTAGTTGCTAACTGCTGAAGATGTGGGTCACATCTACCCTTCTACTCTAATTAATAGCTAAACTGACCTACCATTATTTCTTTTCACATGAAGTCCTGGTGTTAGGAGGCAAAAAGTGAATTATGCAGAGTTCATAAAAGTGCAGTTTAATTAATTAATTAATTAAATTTATACCCAGTTCATAAAAGTGCAGTTTAATTAATGAATTAATTAAATTTATACCTCGCCCATCTAGACACATGTCTACTCTGGGCAGCTAACAATAAACATAGAATAAAAACAATAAAATAAAAAGCAACAATAATAATATAGTTCAAGATGGGGAAAAATTAAAAAATAATCAGGTGATGACAGGAGGGAAAGCCTGCCTAAAGAGTCAGGTCTTAAATTGGCTCTTAAAAACACCCAGCGAGGGAGCCAGACAGATCTCTGAGGGGAGACTGTTCCAAAGGCAAGGGGCCACTGCCGAGAAGGCCCAGTTTCTTGTTCTTTCTCTCCGGGCCTCCCTCGGCATTAGTTGTCTCTGGATTACATTCTTTGTGCCTTGTGATTTACCTTTTCAGTAGTGGAAGGGGAAAAAAATGGCAGCAACTCAACTAGCCATTGGGCAACGATTGGCTATTAAAGTTGCAAGTCCCTCTTTGGCAAGCATTCAAAAATCAATGTTTGGAATACACTGGTGCATTAGATAAGCAGGGTTCTTTTTTCACTTGTGCATATTTTTCTGCTTGGGAAGGGACAGAACAGATTTGACAAAGCTGGTCCCTCTCCTCTGCTTTCACCCGGGTTGAAAGCACATGACCTGACCTATATCTTAAGAAATCCCATTACTGAATAAAGTGACTTCCACTCTTCAGCTACTCTAGCAACCCTTTCTACCGATTAGTGCGTGCCCAGTGAGTGTTCTCTCAGGCGGGGGGGGGGGGCTCATGCCTAGAATCTGGAACTGTAAAAAAACTTATTTTCCTTAAGGTCAGACAACCATTGCTGGCCTTCCCTTAGGTCCTCTTTCAGTAACAGAATGGCACACTCTGCTCAGTACTACGTATGCCATGTTTCTGTCTGCTGCCCCCTCCTTCTGCCTCTTTCATTCTTCCAGCTGCTACTACTTGTGCTCACTCAGCTATGCTGTGCCCCATGCTGTTGGCAGTCTTTCGTTCTTCCAGCTGCTACTACTGGTGCTCACTCACTCAGCTATGCGGTGCCCCATGCTGTTGGCACAGTTCCCACCCAGCACAGGCTATCTGCTGCTCCAATCTGTCTTCCAGTGCTGCCCAGGGTATCTGCCCACTCACCAGTGCAACCTGTCTTCTGCTTCCCCAAAGTGCCATTCCCAATGTTCAGGATTCAATCTCTATGCCCATCACAATTATTTCCCAGTATCTGGCACTGCTGGCTGTTGGTGTACACTCTTTGTTTGACACAATCACTGGGAGAGGCATTACAGAACACAGGGAACTCCTTTAAAAATACTTTGCATTTTTGTGTTTCTTTAAACAGGAAAACAATTATATATTATTCATATTGATTGTAATGGGAGTTCTGGATATCCAGAAATTCTATACTGTATGTTTAAAATTCCAAATCAGAAGGGTGGTAATTCCAAAGTTCTAGTGCTCATCCCTAATTTCTATCTAACATTACCCATCACTGAAGACATTTTTATGCCATCAGAGAGAAATGGGAAAAGATGTTTTGTTTTTTTGCGTGTGCAAAACACTGCAGCCACCGTAACTACTCACAACACTGCCTGGAGTATTTGGAGTTTCTAGTCCAAAGTAACATTCTCATCTCTGCCCCAAGTTTCCACCCCCTATGCAAGTTTTAAAGTGCAGAGCTTCAAGGTACACAAACTCCTTCCAAACCTACTATGTAAGTTGTAATTGTTTTTCATCAAGCATTTTCCTTCCTTGGGAAAAACAAGGCACTCCCATTTCGAAAGCACTGAAATGCTTGATAAGCACTATTCAGGAATGTGGGATTCATAGTAGATTCCACCTTTTTTGTTGCATTGTAGTCTGCTGATATGTAGCCTTTTACATATCTGGAGGCTAGCTTTCAACCTGGAATCCTAAGCTCGATGATGAAGAGTGGGTCACAAATCACGGAAGGCATGATGGAATATAAAAGCCCATTCAGAGATATTGCCAAGTCACTTCTGCAGCAGCGGAAGTGTTAATAATAGTTTGGTTACTTATTTGATAAATTCATTTAAGTGGCTTCATGCCAAGATATATGATTAATGATGCATACAAAACAGTTCACTGATGATACAAATCAGAATAATATAAGTTAATGAAATTAAATGTCTGTTCTTTAATCTGCCAAATTACAACCATCTATCTTCAAGTTAATAAATCCAGTCTTAAAATATTTCTGGAAGGAACTTAAAATTCTAACAGCCCAACCTTGAAAGTTTTGCATTAGAGGTGAGATAAAAAGACTGAGTGTTTTGCAAAGTCTGTGTTTCTCTGCAGGTTGTTTTCTTAATTTGTGCCTATGTTACGGTCTACCTGATCTACGTGAAATTCCGGAAAACCTTTGACAGCGAGAATGATTCTTTCCGCCTTGAATTCCTTTTGGTTCCCGTCACAGGCCTTTCATTTTTGGAAAACTACAGTTTCACTCCTTTAGAGGTAAAAAAAAATCCATTCATGTTCTGGACTATTCAAATGTGTCACACCACTTTTCCTCAGAAGTTTTTAGATGTCTGAAACAGCGTTTTATCATAGTATATTTCATTGAATTTATTAGAATTTTCTCTGCACCAGTAAAATTTACCTGTAGTTAAATTTCTTCCTCAGATCTTGTGGACTTTCTCAATTTATCTGGAGTCAGTGGCTATCCTTCCACAACTTTTTATGATTAGCAAAACAGGTGAAGCTGAGACCATCACCACACATTACCTTTTCTTCTTGGGCCTCTATCGTGCCCTCTATCTTGGCAACTGGATCTGGCGTTACTACACAGAGAACTTCTATGATCAAATTGCTGTTGTTTCTGGAGTTGTACAAACTATCTTCTACTGCGATTTCTTTTATCTCTATGTCACTAAAGGTAAGGATCACTGATAGAATAGCACCAGGTTGAGCAGATGAGTTCGCAAAGTTGTGGCATGACAGTGATTTCAGTGCAAGCCACTGTTTTCTTGCAAATGATCTGAAACTGTAATCAGCACTCCTACTAGACTTGTCTCTTGTCACACAACTTTTCTACTTGTACAGACTTTTTAGTAGTAGTAATGCACTTCATGAATATAAAATTCTTAATGCAAACAAACTGGCTTGGGAGAATCACACTTTCTTCTAATCCAACATAGAATAACCCTATTAAAAATACTACTGATAAATGTTTCTGTTCTTCTGAATGAAAGTTTTAGTAGTCTTATTCATTATTTCTCCCCATCTAGTATTGAAAGGCAAGAAGTTGAGTCTCCCAGTGCCTATCTGAAGACGGACAGCAAAGCAAGCTCTTGAAGACCCTGCTTCCAGGTTCAGAGGATGTTCTTTTCTGCTTTTCTGCCAAAAGGCTCAACTAGCATTTGAAGAACTTCCCCTTCAACTACACTGTGACTAGTAAACTCCAGACTATGCCTGGGAATCTACCATTTGAATAGCTAACATGCATGACCTATCTATTCAGTGTCGAGCAAATATTTCCATTTTCTTTTGTACTGGAGCACTCCTTTGCTGACTGAACTCTGCTTGTAACAAATAAAACAGTGCAAATTGTATGCCCATTTGATCTCTGTGTATGTTTCAACATTGATGCAAACGAAATTATTTCAGGGTAAAATTCTATTTCATTCAATTCAATCATGGCCGACGTAAACTGAGTAATGAGTTAAGCCTTAATACACAGTTGGACTGAAATTGCTTCTTCAGGCTGAAATAAACTAAAATCTTCAAAAAGATCTGGCACTTCATCAATTCAATAAGGAAACTGTTGAATCTACTAGGAAGGGAAGTTTAGATAAAAATAAGGGTTTTCTGGGTTAAAGAGTACTCAGAAGTGGCTTACCATTTCATTCTTCTGGGGGCATTCTGGGACTGTGCAGCGTGCCGACGGCAATACAGGTTGGCTCTTCTGGAATACACAGCAGGGAACTGAACCCACAACCTCAACCAGATACCTAATTCACTGAGCTATCCAGCCAGTTCTTTACGATGCAAGCAGAATATATATATCTTTATTCCGTATTTATAATCAAAATTAAATTTATTTTGTTCCATCTTAAATTGACTTTCAAAGAAACAGATGTCAAGAACAGAAGAAAAATGTGACATTTGAGCAATGTACCTTTCAAATAAAAAACAAGAGTCCAGTTTATTGACAACAGTGTTTTATTCATACCTACAAAAGAAAACAAGATGGTATCAAAAGGACAATTTACAAACTAATAATAACATAGCTTTTTAGTATGCTGTGCCTGAACACCACAGAACTATGAATCTCTCCATTCAAGTCTTTGTTATTACAACAGGAATGTGTTCAAATACTAGTAAAAGTTGAAACAGAGAACTGATCCCATCCCAAAAGCCTCTCATTTAGAGCATAAATCTTTCAACCAAAGACCACAGTGACTTATCTGGAAGGGAATATAAGCTGGACTGATATTTCTAAAAATGTTCACTGGGGGTAGCGATGGACATTACAACTTTGTCAACAGGGCTCTTTAGCTGGTAGATGGAACCAAGCAGCACCAGGTGGGTCATAATCAGTACATGCCACAGAGCATTCAATGGTTAATTAAAACTCAGGCTGAGCCTGAAGACTCTGGGCTATAGTTGTTGCCAAGCTACAACAAAGCACAAAACCCAAAAACAATTTTATGGCTGCAACGATTGGTGAAGACCACACAACAGACATGACCTTCTTGAAACCCCTTTTAAGGAAAATGGGAAGTACACATCTCCACCATGTTTTTAGGTTAATATCTGCACTAACCAACAGCCCAATGATATCTTTTCCAGGAAAGATTTAGTCAGTGTTCAGCAAATGATCATTTCAAACCTTTTTAAGCTCTGAAACTCACTGCCAGAATTCTTAATTCTGCAAATTTATGATTACAGAAATAAACAAGAAAAAAAATTAGAACTACCAAAAATGTCCCTCCCCCAGTCTGTGCCAACAACCTACCTGTATGTTGCGTGGAGATAAACAACTGATTTATGAGCTCTGGGAACATAAATCAAAATTCCATTTTTATATGCCAGCCCCACACTGCTATAAAATAACTGGACTGGCTTATTTGGCTGAACTGCACATTTCCCAAAACAGAAGAAAACACTGCAGCAAACACATTATGCCTCTCAGTCGGTATATAAGTGATCTCCTGCCTTGTTCTCTGAACATGAACAGGTGATGCACTGCAAAGCCAACAATACCAATCCTTCTGCTAGAAATCACAAGACATAAGCCTTAGTACTTGAAGAGGGATCCCACCCTACCCACCCACCTAAAGCCTTGCTCAGCCTAGGGGAAAAAAAATCAACAATATTGAATGGAAGCGTTTACTAAACTTCTATCCTTCCCTAAAAGTTCCTAGAAGGCTACCTACCTGTAAAAGCCGAGTGTAAAAGACAGCTGAAGAAATTCATTCAAAAGCCAAGCAAAGCCCTAATCAGATGAGAATACGAAGGTAGCTTCAAGACATATTTGCCATCTCTTCCTCCTCCCCCACGAATAGGGGTTCATATTCCATTTTGTCTAAAATCATCCTTTTAAGATTTAAAATAGAAAACTGAACCATTTTACTCATTACAGTGGTATCCAGAATGAGGCATTTTACATTAAAGTAATAGATACCAAGTAAATGAAGACCAAGCTAGCATCCCCTTTTACAATCCTGCTGAGTACAATCTTAACCTCAGCAATTCAAACTTGAGAAAAAGACTTAAATTATAATCCCTTGGGTGAAATGGACGTGTTAGCAACTTAAGAGTCATGCAAAAATCTGCTTAACTTATAAAAATGTAATAATTTTGTGATTAAACTTGGGGTGAAAGTGCATGCCAACAGAGAAGAACACTCAGCTCCAACACTCTAATATCCCTTCCCCTTATCTGTGGAGTGGAGTTTTACAACAACCTGAGAAAAACTAGATTAATTATCTTTTCAATATTCACCTGTGCCAAATCCAAGGTCTTCAATCCAATTGCTGCTGAAGCAAATCAAGTCTCAATTTTGGTAAGAAAAAAAAGCACACCATCTTTAATATTCTGTTAAGACAGGACCACTCCTTAGCACCACTTTTCTTGGTTCACAGCATGGATAAGTTGTCCTCTCTGCAGCAAGTTTTCATACACAAGCCTCAGACACAATGAGAATTGGACTGGGACATATCTGCCCTATAGGAATTTGTTTGTTTGTTTGTTTTTTTTTGAAAGAGAAAATAATCATTCTGTATCACTCAACATGCAAGGCCAAAACATGTGTAAAGTCAGTTTTCCAGCCATCACTAATTTTAAAAACAAAATCAATAATGTGGACTGGAGACCACTGTCTGTGGGCAGAATTTGGATGGTGAATTCTAGATCTAACCTGCATAAGGGGAAAACATCACACTGGGGGTGGTGAGGGAGGAGAGAAGAGGTTTTTAATTGCAAATCTTGACTGGTAACCACTAAACCAAATGATCTCATTTGCGTGAAGGGGGAGGGGGTGGTGGAGGAGGAGGATATTGGTAGTTGGCAGTCTGTCCCATATAGCCCATCACGTTGGTGCCTGGAGGCTGGGGAAACTGTTGCGACATGAGAGGCTGTGGCTGCTGGCCTGAACGGCCTATCCCTGCATACTGCTGCTGATTGGTGCTTTGTGAGTTTCTCCCACTGTTGGCAGTGCTGGCTCCACCATACCCAGCAGCACCATATTCTGCCCCGTAGCCACTTGCTCCATACGCAGCTGCTCCATAGGCTCCCTGGGCATAAGCATACTGGCCCTGCTGTGCCCCAAAGGCAGAATTTGCATTTCCATATGCACCGCCATAGCCCTTGTTGGCTCCATTGGCAAAGCTGTCACCACGATCGCGGTCTCGGAAACCAGTTGAGTCTCTTCGGCCATCTTTAACTCCCCGGAGCCTCCGTTCACACTCTTCTTGGTACATCAGATTAGGATTATTGGAAGAGTTACTGGTACGGTAACGAGAACGGCCACCTGGTGACATTTAGGAGTGGATTTAATATTGCTTTGCCTTCTATTCAAAGTTTATCAAATGAACTTAACCTTGCTGTAATAAAACTGTGCTTGCCTATTCACTATGATCCTTCTACTCATCACATGATTTACTTGCCAAGTTCAATTTGTGCTCTAAATATTTTTCTTTCAATACATAAAACAGTGTAATAATAATATACTATGAAAAATCCCTTACGTTTGATATAAAGAGCTTTAAGACAGAAACTAAGAAAAAACGGGCTATAAAGTCTCATGGAGTTTTATTCAGATCTGAAGACTTGCTAAATTGTTAGTACTGAGGGCTACATTTTGTACTTTGTTATACTTTACTGAAAGCAGATTTATAAAAATACAGAACAGACTTAAAAATACAGATTGGAGAATAGACTCCTTAATCTTCAAAGTTCTTCAGACTTCCACTACCCCAGGTCAACATATGCCATTAACTTCTAGTAGTGAAACTAATTTGGAAGTACTAGGCAAAAGTGCCTAACACAACTTAAAGCTCTCTCCAAACAGGGCCCATTTCAAATTCTGTTGCTAACAACCCACATTACTGTATTCTTGAAGGCTTTCACAGCTGGGATCCGATGGTTGTTGTAGATTTTTCGGGCTGTTTGGCCATGTTCTGGAGGTTTTTCTTCCTAACGTTTCGCCAGTCTCTGTGGCTGGCATATCCTCTAAACGTTAGGAAGAAAAACCTCCAGAACACGGCCAAACAGCCCAAAAAACCTACAACAAACCCACATTATTGCTTCTGTGAAGCTAGCTTTAGACCAATGATGTGTGATTTGGATCACTGTCCCAAATATTGTTCCTGGAATGATGAAAGTTAAGAGCACCCCAAATCACATGATCAATCCTCTTAATAGCTTAGATTCCCAAAACACCTATGATGCTCCCCTACTCACAAGTGAAACACACTTTGTCTTCAACAGTTGAGACAGCAAAAAGGAGACCATAGAAGGAGGGAAATTAATCAGCTCTCCATAAAAGAAAGCTAAAGGCAGGTTTGCAGAACAAAAACCAACATGTAACATAGAGTAAAGGAAAACTAAATCTGCTCTAGGTCTGAAAGAGGTTAAAAAAATACATATTCCCACAAAGACAAACACTGCTTGGGTAATCCTCCCTGGAGTTCAGCTGACAAGGCACCACAGCGTTCATAATATGACAATGTAACTATGATTCAAGTCCATCAATACAAAAGCAGCAAAAACTCTTACCTCCACCGCCGCCACCACCTCTATGGTCCACAAGCTGCATCAGTTTTGGATTGATAGCCTGATTGGCCTCCTCTAGCACTTTTATTAGTTCTCTAGCTTGTTTCAAATTTCCTGGTGTGAAGAAAGTATAGGCAGTGCCTTTGTTGGTGCTCCGGGCAGTACGGCCAATTCTGTGCACATAATCTTCTGAGCTGTTTGGATAGTCGTAGTTTATCACAAACTTTACATCTTCCACATCTTGTGAGGCAACCAAGCACAGTGAGGGGTTCAGGAGAGGGTAGTGGAAGAAGGATGTGCCAACAGAAGGTGGGGAGCACAAATGCAAGTGACAGTAACAAAAGAAAAGAAAAAAGTTAGTAGTTGTAGGGAATAAATACAGTACAGACTCCTCCCAACAGAGCAAAAGGTTAAATAGATATATGTATATATATGTCCATGAGAATCCAAGTATTTGTGTTCAAAAGACAACACAAGCCAAAGCAGTTCATCATTCCTCTCAAATTCATCCATCCTTTGCTGCATGCATCTCATGAACACACACTTTATACTGCTATTTGAACACCTGACTTGTGGAATACAGGCAATTTTACTCCACAGTAGCATATCAAGGGACAAACAAATGTGCCACTCTTTTTACGGACACAGCAAACTGGAGTGGGTGAGGGAGAGAACTGCCTACGTTCTTTAACTCTGTTAGGAGAAGTCTACAAACTCTAGCAACATCAAGACCACTTACCTTCCAGTCGCCACAAGTTTTAACAAACAAAATATTTTTCAAGTAGTCTCATAAAACCTACAGTAAGAAATATTTTTCTTTGTTTTAATGGTATCTGTAAGTTATCCCAATTTCAACGGAGGTGAAACTTGCTCGTTTGGGTCAATATAAATGGTAAAACATTCCCGTCTTCTATGTTTAAAGGAGTACTACATTAACCTAAGAGCATACCAACAAATCCATTGTGGTACAAATTCTAGCATAAGACTTCTTGCAGTTAATTTGAACAAAGACCACAAACTCATATGCAAACATTAAAAACCTCATGGAAAATATCTTGAGATTTCAAAAGTATGGAGGTCAGAAAATAAACAGTGTACTACACTGCTAAAAACTTGTAATACAACATTCAGAAAAAAACACACAATTTTACAGGAAATATTAATAGCTCACGCACAAAAAATCTGCATTTTACAGAGAATATTCAAATATATCCAAGATAAAACACAGATTGACTTTTCTTTTAAAAATGAGAAACAATCCCTGTTTTGTTACCAGACCGATGCACACTCCCTCCTCCTGTGGGAAACCGCTGCAGCCGATCCCGTCTCTTTGCCTTTTATTTTTGGCGGCCTCCTTTCGAAAACTCCGCCCTCTGACACGGGACCACTGGAGCGCGGGGAGCATGCATCGAGGGTCCATGGCAGCGAGAAGTCCCCACACACGCTCGCTCTGTGAACTGGCTTAGATGCTTCTCTGTAGCCCCATTTGGCTGCCAAGCGCCTGAGAACCTGCGTTCACGTAAATGTTTCAGGTCCTCCCAACGCTTGCTGTCCCCTCACAGGGCTCAAAAGGGGCAATTGTCAAAAAAGAGAGAAGATGCTAAAAATTACATCCAAAAGTTCAGGCTGCATCTATTGCCAAGACTGCATCAATTTCAAATGGGGGTGGTGGAAGTGGGTTGCAGTAGTGGCAAAGGGGTGTTATGTCTGTTTCTTATTACAGCAAGGGGGGGCTCCTCAATCTTTCCAGACTCCAAAGTCCTGAATCACACCAAAAAGTGAGAAGGCAGATTTGACAGGGGCAGCGCGAGTCTCCAGCTAAGGTCCCGGTGCAAAGATCTCAAAGGGCAAGTGTACGAATAAGGATTGCACACTGAGGGCATCACATCTTCATAACTAGGGCTTATCTGGAGTCTGACAAACAGCAGGCTATGGGGCCTCAGTCAATCCCATCCTGTACGTCCATTAGCAAAGGAGCTGCAATTAATTCAAGAGAGCCTTTTCTTATCAGGAAACAAAGATGTTTCTATTAATAATGAAGGCATCAAGGAGTGGATTTTGGTAGGAAATCCATGCATGGGCAACAAGGATGAGAAAGGAAACAAGCACGGGCAATTTCCACCTTAGAAAGGTGCATATCAGTTCCATATTATGTAACGAGGTGGGGGCTGGGGAAACATGGAGTAAAAAAGTAAGGTTCTTTCTAATCTACCTTGCACTGGTGTAAAGTTATACTCCTCACAATATTTCCTCCAAGAATTACAAAGCTTCAATTCTTGAGCCTTCTTTTTAAAAAAACATGACTACCTGGGGTATATAACCACTAAGATGCCCCCAGAAAATGACTGTCTGACCATTATGTGAGAGGGTCAGAAACTAAGAAACACGATCATCTAGAGAGCTGCTTCGACCACCAATGTAGATATGTCCCCAGACCTGCACTGAGTGATCGGCAGCTGATATCAAAGTTTCTGTTAAAGAAAACAAACAAAAAGAAATTTAATGATTTGACTTTAACAGAGTGAAGTGTAACCAGTTTTTTTTATTGAAAAGTAGTGCAGAGGGAAGTTTTCTCTCCTGGGGATCATTTACAAAGAAGCCATTACTGGGGGACTCAACTTACCTGGAAGGAGTTTCTGAGACCAATGTTCCTTTGAGAAGAAGGAAAAGCCCTGGTGACTCAGCCAAAAAAAGTGCGCGCCCCTGTTCTATGTTTTAGGTAGAAGCCTTCACTTTCCAGGAACTTGGAGGAATTCGTCCAGAGGTTTGCAAGTCAGGTATTGTTTTTATAAAGCAGCAAACTCTGGGCCCCAAAACAAGCCAAGATGTTATTTAGTAACAAGAAACAGACTCTGGTACCTCTTCCCCACAGCCTCAGTGAAGTGGAGAAGGCAGAACGGGGAGACTGTTTTCTTTAAATAGTATCCGAATGAGTTGTTTTGGGGAAATATATGAGAAGGGCTGATTTTAATGGTCTAGGCAAGATGCACAAAGAAGCTACCAGCACATAGCAAGCCTGCTTACAAACCACTGCCAAGGAAAGTATTCTTTTTATTAAAAAGAAAAAAGAAAAAAGAAAACCTGGTCTCCACCTCTTCTCCTAATAGGGCCAAGTTCTACCTGCACAGATCCAGACATGACCCCAGAGGACAGAGACTGAAATCCAAATGAACACCTCTAGAAAAGCATTGGACAATTTAAGGGACAATATGAGGGAATTAATGTTGACATGAACTACAACTACTTTTTAATATATTTATCACTTTTAAGAAAAGCTAAGATACCCTTTCAGAACTTTTATATCCAAGAGGAATCATCATCATCATCATCTCAGAACTGCAGCTGGAAGAGACCTTATGGATCATCGAGTCCAGCCCATCAAAGAGACACAGTGGGGAATTAAACTTTCCAACTTTTGTCTCTGCAGTCAGATACCTCAACCACGGAGCTGCTTATACAGTACATTTAAAGAAAGTTCCTCTGAACAATCTATGTGAGTGTATTAATTGATCCAATTGTATAATCTGTCACAATAGGTCAACCCCATAAATTCAAACTACTGCAACTTCTAAATTTCTTGATTATCCAAATATACTGTACAGAGGATCAAAACTTAATCCTCAAGATAAAAGAGGAACTCTTTACTCCAGTGTCAAAGAAAAATAATCTTTACAGCACTGAAAGAAAACTAAGATATATCCTCAATACACAAGACCCATTGTGATTTTTATACACAATATATTCCAACATAATATAGTATGCCATGGCTGGGGAAGAGCGTATATACCTACTCTCATTAAGGTGCAATTACACTAGCATTGCATTTAATTATGACTGCTCTGATCACCCCAAAACTATGATCAGCTTAATGTTTAGCCATCCAGCAACAAAGCTGGAGCTTAAAAGGTGTAGTGGAAAAATTGGGCTGAGTAATTAGATGTCTCTTCTCCTCACTGGCGATCGATTAGTCATGCCTAGCTCTTGCTGCAGACCAAAGCCTGTTCATTAGGAGCAGGAAGAGATTTTGAATATGAAAGAAAAAAAAAGATCAGCGTTAAAAAAAGGCATTTCATATGCGGGAGAAAGCCACGCTTTACAATTCTTTGGGGGGGAAATGTGTTGGTCTAAAAGAAACAACCTGAAAAGCAGGCAGAGAAGCCCATGTGTACAAACCTAGCCCACGAGATGCAACATCTGTAGCAATGAGGATAGGAGCCTTTCCAGAACGGAATTCTGAAAGGAAAAAATACGTATACAACATAATTTGGAAACACAGATTTAAGTTTGACAGTTTCAAAGTAAATCTTGAAACTTTAGCAAAACCCCATACCAGAACTACATGAAATAAATGTTTTGGGACTAGCTCTTCATATTATTGTTTTGAGATTTTTCCATCAGGAAAGTACATTAACACGAATGTTAATACTCTCATTTACAAAAGCTAAAAACATTTCAACAAAAAAATGTAAAAATAACCCTGGAGTATTGTATCACTGCAAACCATAACTCCCAGGGATACAACTAGAACAATGGTAAGCCAGGACATTTTTTCTACTCCTTACCATTAAGCACCCAATCTCGTTCTGGCTGACTCTTGTCTCCATGAATACACATAGCTGGCCAACTACCAAAAAATAAAAATAAAGGTTTTCATTAGTTTTAGCCACCATGTCTATGAGTTTCTGAAATGCTAACTTTTTTTTTCACACACTGAAAGATATGCAATGATTTTAAGCAGGCAGGGAACAAAAACATGGGTGTTATTGCACCTTCTGAAATACTACTGAGAGAATTCACAATTCTAAAAAAACTTAAGAAAATACAGAAATAAAGGTCTGGATAGACTATATCAGACATAAATTCTATGTCAGTATGCCACCTAAAGATATCTGAAAATCAAGCCACGCTCTTCTATTTTTCTTTCCTTGCATCTTCCAATCTGTTTGCTTATTTCTGAAGAAAAAAATCATCTATGTGATCTTTCTTGATAGTGGTTCATTATTTTTTTCCTAAAGTATGAAGGATGTCCTACAACCTCAAATTTCAAGAGGGTACTTTTAAAAATGTTGTTCTTTTGACAACTGTTTTGCTTACATTGTACGATTGTACATCATACAAAGATAGACAGCCTGTCTCCTAGATATGAAGCACAGTACTCATTAGTTTCTTAGCTATACAGCAACATTAGTTGCTCCATAGAATTAATTACACATCAAACCTCAGGACTATCTATATTACACCAAAAAGAGCTCTCAAGACTAAAATTGGTACATCTCACGGCTTTCTGTAACACAACCTGTCTGAATTATGACTAAAAAACCTACCCATCTCTACGCATTCGTCGAGTTAGATCATCACATCGTCGTTTTGTCTCCACAAAAATAATTGTCTTGTTCTCTTTTTCAGCCATGATTTCTTCCATCAGCTGTATCAGTCTTTTAACAACAAAAAGATAGTCACACAAATTATACACAGGAGCATTGATTTTCTTTATTTAGAGCAGAGATGGGCAAAATGCAGTGCTGGGGTGGCATGTGGCACCAAACTTCCCTTTTCCAGCAAAAAAAGAGCGAGCTGCTTCTCCCTGAAACCTCCAGGAGTGTCAGCTGACCTTATAAATAAGCAACAAAACCTTCCTATGTTATCTATTCCAATGGAATATGATTTTTTCAAAACTGAAAGTAGACCTCTAGCCACTTCATGTGTCATGAGTTTAGTGCATTTCTGATAACCTGTGAGAGCCCTCAGAGGATCCTGAAGGTAGGAAATTGGCCCTTGAACCCATACCAATGTCTCTCATTCCTGATTCAGAGATAAGATGATTTTGACATCATTCAATCTGCATAAATTTCAAAAGCAACCTCAGCAATTTTAGTCACATAGGCATAGCAAGCCACAGCAATCTTAGTGCAGTGGGTGTTAATGGAAAACTATCTGGCTTTCTGGTTTGGGTCTTTACTGCTAAAATATGTAAGTGGGTAGCACTGTCTTATTTTACTTCTTTTTGTAAGTGCTTTATAAGCTGCAAGAAGAACGTGGAGTTAAATATATCTAGTCTTACTATCTGAATTAACCTAATCAATTTTAAACAATTCTACTCTGAAAGAGGTTTCCAAAAGTAATACAGTATCCATACTTATGATCCTTCTCGTTCTCCATGCACACATCCACTATCTGCAGGATATTATGATTGGCACTCAGCTCCAGGTTGCCCACGTTGATCTGGACATAGTCATGCAAGAAATCCTCAGCTAGCTGGCGCACCTCCTTTGGCCAAGTGGCACTCCACATTAGGGTTTGCCTATCAGGCTGAAAGAAAAAAGATGAGTTATTGAGGGGACAGACTCTAAAATGGAAATGTAAGAGATGCTAATATAGCAATGGTTTACATACTCTTATCTGATCCACAATTTTACGTATCTGAGGTTCAAAACCCATATCCAGCATTCTATCAGCTTCATCCAGTACAAGGTATGTACATCGCCGGAGATTCGTCTTCCCTGCTTCCAAGAAATCGATCAGACGTCCAGGGGTAGCAATGCAAATTTCAACGCCTTCAGAGAACAGGGAGAGAAGTGTGTGAAAAATAGTAGAGACTGAACACAGTAATAAATAGCTTCTTCCTTTGACCTATGAATCTAGATCTCAAGAATGAGATCTGCTGCCATCTAAGTTTCAACTCTCATAACATATTCCTCAGACTCACAGTAATCATATTCACACTACAACTGCCTCTAATTAAGAAAATCAGAACAATGTTAAATAACTCAATCTTCAACACAGACATATATCCACCATACATGAAAACACACCTTTAATAAAGCTGAATCTCCTCTAGTTCTAAATTTGGAACAGAAATATTGTGCACATTTATAAGATGAAAAAAAGTATATAAGCTCGTATCCAAGCATTTTTCATAATGGTATTTTCATTTAATAAAGGCAGAACAATGTTTCCACTTCACTGATTATTACAAGAGGCCTCACTAAAAAGCCTCAATTGTATCCCACATATTTATGTGCATTACACTTATCTAACTGCTGAAGAGTAGTACCACTACCAACTATTCACACAAGGCTTACTCCACAGCACTAAGTTCTCTCTCTCATGTTCACAATCATTTTAATAAAAAAATTGAACATTTTAGGATTGAACAAATATGTTTGGAACAACCAGGCTATCCATCATATATCCGCATTACCTCTCTCCAAGTCTCTGATCTGTGGACCTTTGGGTGCTCCTCCATATATACACGTACTCTTCAGTCTGGAACATTTGCCATAATCATCAGCCACCTGTTGGACTTGCTGAGCCAATTCTCGGGTAGGAGCTAAAACCAAGCACTGTAAAGAAAGCAATCCAAAGCACTTAGTAACACATGTCAATGTTAAGCGTACATACTTAAACATCACTGACAGACCTAAAAACTACCCCTTTATTTATTGAAGACTCACAAATATACCAAAACATGGCAAATGCAACTAACTGCACACATAAAAAAATGAAGAAATACTCACAATTGGACCATCCCCCCTTTCTAAATATGGTTGGTGATTGATGTGAACAATCGCGGGCAGCAGGTACTGAAAGAAGTAATATATATATATGAGAAGACATGAAACGGATAGTCAGTTGATGAATTGTGTTAAGAATGGATACAAATATGACTTATATTTTGCCTCAATATAGCAATATGATTCTCTAAGTTTAAAAAGAACAGCAAGATGTTTGGAGCAGGTACATCAGTTATTAATGAATGTAAATCATATAACAACTAAGATTTATAGTTTCCACTTCCCCATTCTTCTGCAAACAGCCAAGTTGATCTGCAGAAGGCTACAGTAATGGAAAAAAGGAAGAAAAGTCCAATGTGCCAATGACATGTGGTTCCAGTCTGCACACCTGCACTGATATTACACTCCTTAAGCTCCAAGGACACATGGAGCTGTTTATCATGAGGTTTGAGCAGTATCTTTCACCAACAAGACTGAAACCTACAAGCAACAAAGTAGGACTGTTTTGTGAATAAGGGCATGTGTTTCATTCACTCTTCTGATGACAGCATTAACACCAAAAAGCTGCAACTAAAGAAATGTTCAGCATAAACATGTAGAGCATCAAACTGGGCCTACTTATCTAGAAATGTAATGAATAAAGTAGGACTTCTTAATGAATGAACACATAATATAAATGTGGAGGAAAAAATAGTTGTTCCATGCAAAAACTAAAGAATACATACTGCTAATGTTTTTCCAGAGCCAGTCTGTGCAATGCCCACCATGTCACGACCACTAAGGGCCAACGGGAAGCCCTGACACTGAATTGGAGTTGGTTCTGTGAAATGCTGGTCGATCAAGACATCCATGACATATTCTACAGAACAAGACATACATGTATTATATAAATATTTGCTATAAATTATTTCAATAAACTTCTACCACATAGGAAAGTCACAAGACGACTTCCAGAACTAAACATAACCAAGTCCTCTGAACTCTGGTCCCCAGCTGCACAGCAGAATACTCACGAGGGAAGTTACACTGGTGGAAGGCAAATACAGGCTTGGGGCAACCATCTGCACCTCGAACTGTAATCTCTTTCTTTCTTCTCAATTCATCAACCTCATACTGTTTTAGACGAATGAAAAACAGAAATAAACCTTATGAGAAACAGCAATTAGATACCTTTCATACTTCCCTTTCCACAAGTGCAAACTGTTGCTATCCATTTGCACTTATGTTTTATAACAGAGCCAGCTGACAGAAAAATATTTTTCTCATTACTCCCATTTTCAAGAAATTATCAAACATGCGTACACACACAGAGGAACTAGAATTCATGTCAAAAATACCATTTGTTTTAACAAATTCCATGGGAAAAATATCTTACAGAACAGAATCCTATCACTGTTCACATGAGAAATGCATAATTTCCACTGCTAATTGCACCTAATGGCACACCTAAATCAAGTGTCTGCTCACTGTGCAACTGACAAATCCCCCTGCACCATGTCAATTAATTGCAGCAAGTTACACAAACTGTACACAAATATAAATAGAATTAATGAATGAATTTATTATGGTTGGGTGACCAGCTCATAAAACATATTTATGGCTAAAATATACAAAATGCAGTTTAAAAATATACAATCAGTTCATAAAACATGTATTTAATATATACAAAATGCAATTTAAAAATTATATTTAAAAGTGTAGAATGTTGGATTAAATGCTACATCTCATACTGTTAACTAACAACATTCTGGTGTTACTTGAACACGATCTAAAAATAATTGTTTGAAGTAACTGTTCTGAACTATTTCCAACAGTTGATAAAAGACATTTGATAAGACAAATGTCAGACACTGCTGTTTTAAGAATTATACTGTATACATAGCCATCTGGCCAAGTTTTTTCCATCCAGACAAACTACTTGTAAACTTGTATCAAATATGAAAACTTTCTCTTAAAAAGCAAATTTATATCAAGTTTTCACTTCCACAAAAGTTAATGTAATTCACGTAGCATTAAGATCAGTTTCAAGAGTGAACGGCATATATAAATACAGAGTGCACAGGAGTTACTTACCTAGGCACGAAAATAACCTCCAGATCACCAAGTCTAATAGATTTCATGAATTAGAAAATATCTATTAAAAATAACCCTGTAAATTTATGTGACTAAAAATATTATGAAAGCAGTATGCACACCAACCATACCTGTCCGTAAAAATATGCCCAATTATTTTCATAATTTGGGCAGCACTCAGAAGTACTAAAACTAGAAAATGTTTCCAGGTCTGCCAGTAACATCTAGAAGAACACAGAAAACTTACTGGAGTGAGTCTTGCCACTTCTGGATGCTCAGCATAGAAATTCTTCTCAAACTTGGGCAATTCACTCAAGTCCCATTTTTTCTTACGCAAACGTTCCCCAGGGTTTCCGAATTTTTTGGGAGGAAGAGGACTGCCAAACCTGGGGGATTAAAATAAGACATTATTTGATTTATATCCCACCAGAAAAACCCAAGGCAGATTACAAAATGCTTAAGAACCCAGATACAACTCACTCAATTATACTAGAGTATAGTTGATGTTTTTTATATTATAACCTTGAAATTAAAAAAATGAACATAGAACTAAAGCCAGGCTACACTATGACTTAGTTATAGCATACTGCAGTACTAGAACTAGCGACTTCAACAATTTTAAAACAGCTGAGATGACAACAACAATGATGTCATCACCCTGCACTTTTAATTTTAATTAAATTTAATATTTCCCTTCAGGTTTCAAGGACTGCCTTGGACTCCTTTTGTCCCAGGGAAGCCTTTAGGAGCCTTGAGATAAGATGGGGGGGGGTGCTTTAAAACTGGAAAATCACAGCTGGAATCCTGCTGGCAGTGCCTATCTGGCAGTGGGACAACTGCGAGGTTTTCTCTCAATTTAAAGGCCTCTCCCCAAGCTAAGGCTTCCCCAGGGCAAAGGGAACTGTATGAAGCCTCAGAACAAGGTGGGTGGATGAGGAAGTTTTAAATGGAATAAAAATTAAAAGTAAAGGCCTAGGATGATGACATAGTTCAGTCAACTCAGTTGTGCCAAACTAGATTTCTACCAATTTATTATAAAAACGTAGGCATCATTCATGAGTCTGTTTAGTTAACAAAAGTCTGCTTGAGAGTAATTTAAAGTGTGCATTTCAGGCACTCCTTCCATGCATTAATCTGAGAAAATCAGATTAAAATTAAAAACTTCTCTGCACTAGAGAAAATATCACTTATTTTTTATATGCAAAGCCTGTCAAATAACTAAATTTATACAAAAGCAATATGACCTAATCTTCCTCCTTTGACCATTTATTACAGTACATTTCCAACTATCAAACGGAAAATAAACGTTATTTTTTATTCTGAAAAAATTAACTCCACTTCAGGAAATACTAAAGATACCAAAAGATAATTGTTTCTTAAATTTTCTATATATTGCAACTTTATCTTTCAAACAAAAGTAAGAATAAAAAGCAGTACTTTAAAAAAACCTCATACACAGAAACAAAAGGAGAAGAAATGGGACTCTGCAGTCATATAAATAACTATCTCTGAGTTATTCAGCAGCAAACCACTACAAATGTGTGTACTAGGATGCAGTTGTAATGGCAAAAAGTCATTCAGACACTGAAAGTAAATGTCTGAGCATTTTTATTCAGATGAATAGAGTTGATTTAGTATGCATATCATAATATTGTAGCCAAAAGCTATGGAAGTAAATCCACCTAAGCACATGAGAACTTGATTTTAAGGAAAATATGACCAAAACCATGCTGTGGTTATTTAAAGAAAACAGTTTACCAGTAGTGAGCCACACACATACAGACACACAACCTTCCTGCAACTCAGTTCACTTCTATAGCCCCAAAATGCTCGTTATTCAAAATTCCTCTACATAGGCAACACCCCCCCATGACGGTTAGACACAGTTCCTGTTAAAACTCAATTCCACTTTTAGTGCACAAAACATAATCAACCATTAAAAAAAGGGGTGCTACTTCTTCAAGAGACATCTGCAAAAATGTATCCATTTCAGACTATAAGATCTATTTTTTCTCACTAGGGCTCACAACACCATCAGCATTTTTCCTTTACATATCTTTTTGGAAGTTTATCCAACACAAGGAGACAGCAGCCCCAAAATGTCAAACAAAACCTATGCATTGGCAAAAATCCTGCTGCTCAGTGTAGCATATCACATTAGAGGAGGTCCGCTGAAACAATGGGACTTTAGTGAACCAACTCCTCTGTAAGTTCCATTGATTCAAATAGGTCTGCTCTAACTGCAACTTTAACATAGAAAATTAGATCAGTTAGAGTAGCTGTATTTGAATCAACTGAACTTACAGAGCAGCTGGCTCACTAAATCCCCACTGATTTAATGGCCTACTGTAGTGTGATTTACTATTTATTTATTCTGTTTACATACCACCCATCCGGCCTAAGGCCACTTTCTACGTGACAACCAAGCAGGATTTTGGCCATTCTCAAATCATATTTCCAGATTTCCATAAAACATTTTTATCCTTATCTTTCACCTACGTTAACATTTCAACCTGTATATTTTACAGGGTGAATTAGAGTAGATTATGTTCTGTTCTGTTATTGCTGCTATGTGCCAGCAAGTCACTCCTTCTTATCGTCACCTTATGAATAAGTGATCTGAATTTTTTTTCCTGTCAGCTTTCTTAACTGTCCAGCTTTCACAGCCATACATGGTTTATTTCTTTTTTTTTTGTTCATATCAGAGCACTGCACAATTTGAATTTACAGACATTGCACTATAAACTTCCTACTATAAAATTACCAACCACAATAAGTGTTTCTGATGGTTATCTACATTTGTGTCTGGTGAATGGAGAAGGTACGTCTCTAATTGTTTTATCTCAAAATACTACAATAGGGATTGTCACCTGATCCATTGTTATCGGTAAATTACCACAGTTCCAGTAAATGTCCTTGTTGATGCCAAAATCATTTACTGGAAGTTAAATCACTTTAAATTCAAATCACCCCTCACAAGTAAATACATTTAATCAAAACTGTTGCACAAGTAAAATGTTAGCAACAAACAAGGTATGGCTCAATTTACTGTTTCTGACACATTTATGTAAAATCTATTGTTATTATGTGCCACCACATTCTGACTTTTGGCACCTTTATTAATGAATAACCTCCAAAATGCTGTAGTTCTTTCTTGAGTAGATCCTTCTTATGTTTAGTTTTCCTCTTTGCCTACTGACTCCAACAGGCTCAGGGTGTAGTACCGTGGATTCGATTTAAATCAAACTGATTTAAATAACGATTTGATTAAAATCTGATTTTTTTAATAATTCAAATTTTAAAAACTGACGTATTTCTTATTTCAATTTGATTTAAACCAATTGGATTTTTTTTAAAAAAAATCAATTATTTTTATCCATCCCGAGATTAGCCTAATTACTCAAGAGGGAAAACCCTCTGTATTTTAACACTGCTAGTACCTTTGCAGCTGCCATTCATACGCTATTTCTACGGCGACTGCTAAAGTCACACTGATCGTTAAAAGAAAAACTGCATCCACCACAACATGAGATATATCGCTCAGAAATGGAAATCTATACGAGGGTTTTGTATGAACAGGAGGGCATCTCAGGGAGTCAGAGGCCCCTCTGATCGGCCGAGGGTGATCGGACGGCAGCAAACTCTGTCCCCGCGGCCTACAAGCCCATCTCGGTAAGGCCTCGCACTTCCCTCCCCGGATCTCCACCCACTCGCAGGCCGACAAGAGGCACCTCCTCGTCCGCAGTTTTGCGTCCATTTTGTGACGCCATTTTCCATTCCCCTCCGCTCACGAACCCCCCCCCCTTTTTCCAACAACATTTCTGCGACCTTAGGGATTACACAAGGCTAGAGAGACAAACGGCAGGCGAGGCTTTCTCTCATCCATACAGGCAGCGGCGGGGGGGAGCTTCGCGCGTCGTTAACAACGGCGGGACAGACGTTCGCCTGAAAGCCAAAAGCCGTTTGCCCTCTTAAACCGATCTGACTCCCGGCATAAACACTTCGGAGTGAACGGCACTGCTTCGATGAGATCCGCCACCCCGCCTTGCACTCGCCCCGACGGCATGGCTAGATCGGGACCCCCGCCTGTATACCCGCCGCGCCTTCTCCCTTGGCGGCCTCTGCCCTGTTCCCTGCACCAGCCCCAGGAGGCAGAAATCCAGCAGATCCGCCGTGCCAGGCCCAGCTGGAGACCTGCTCCTCCTGCTGATATCTACAGGAAACGGCAGGCGAGGCTTTCTCTCATCGATACAGGCAGCGGCGGGGGCAGCTTCGCGCGTCGTTAACAA